GGCATGTTTATACTTAGCAGCTTTGCTCTGGTGCTGAAGACTGTTGTCTCCGTCATAATGGTTTTTCAAAGTTAAATCTAATTTTATTAGACTAAAATACCATGGGAGAACCATCAAACTAGCAAACACTGTGTACCTTTTATGCACGGCCGAGCCTTGGTGGCGCAGTGGTTAAGAGCTCGGCTGCTAACCAAAAGGACAGCAATTCGAATCCACCGGCTGCTCCTTGGAAACCCTGTGGGGCAGTTCTGCTCTCTCCTACAGGGTCGCTATGAATCCGAGTCGACTTGATGGCAAAGGGTCTGGGGTTTATTGTGCGCAAACCTGTCTTAAATACTGTGGGAATGCAAAGCTGCATCAGAGATACCCTGACCTATGTTGTTTACAGTCTGGTAAGACAGTCAAGGTGTAAACGCATGAGGTATTACATGGACACTTGAGATCTAGCAAAGAAGAATGGCGTGCGGTGCGAAATAAACTTTAGAAACATAGCCCAGAACAGTGTGTGTTCAAGCGCCGGTCATATACAAGCATGAACATTGTAATGAGAGGAATAGCACAGAAGTAAGAGGATCGTCTGTCTGGCGTAGAGCTTCCAAGTAACGCAGGAAGGGTGGTGGTATGGGAAACAGGGCACGCTGGGCCCTGACAATCTGAATAAGACACCCACTTCAGTGTCCCTCACCTCAGTAACTTTCTCATTAAAAAATGTTAGGCCCTTAAAAACAGGTATCTTAATATACCTGTTCTGGAAAACTTGACTGCTTTAGTTTGATCCAAACCTGAAACCAACCCCAGTGCCTGATAATCCACTCCAGCTCATGGTGACTCAATGTGTACAGAATAGAACTGTGCTCATGGTGAGCACATGGGGTTTTCAAGGCTGTGATGTTTCAGAGCCAGATCTCCAGGCCTTTCTTCCGTGGCATCTCTGGGTGGATTTTGGTTACTAGTTGAGCACTTAACCATTTGCACCACCCAGGGACTCTTTTTTTATTTTAAATAGAAATGCAAAAGTATATACCTTTAGCTGCATAACAGTGGATAAAATTGTATTGATGGGCTGTAGCAAGCACTAAGCAAAGGGCTTTAATAAGAACTATTACTCCCTACAGGGCCTGGTCTGAAAACTAATATTCAGAAAAGCTGTCATATACCTAAGGAGTGGCAGGGCAGGGATTTGAACCCATGACCAGTTACACTTCCTGCTGCTGCTAGGATTACTGAGGGTTTGCTCAGACATGCCAGGCCCCGTGCTCGACGCTTCGCACGCTCCCGACAGCGGTGTAGTGGAGTGGGCTTTACCACCCCATTTTCTAAGGGAAGGAATGAGGCTTAGAAAAGGCTGTAGTGGAGATCATGAACTTAATCATTATAAATAATACAAGGCTTGTAAATGTTACGTAACTAATGAGACATTGTTTATATAAAATATCTCATGAGATTTAAAAAACATTGACTTTGCAGGGATAGACATAATTTTAAAGATATTTGAAAATTGTGCAGTTGAGCATAAGGGTCTTTCTCAAAGTTAGGTAAGTTCTTTTCTGTGGGATTTCTTATAGTAATCCATTTCTAACATCTGATAGGGAAGAATTTTTAATTACAATTTCTAAAAATATTAAAGCCTATTCATACTAGCAGTAATTATTAGGATGAAAGAATGTCTGCTTTATTCAAGGGGGATAATTGCTGTATAGAATTAGATGTTTCACAGGTAATTTTACAATTTTGTTAATTAAGATTAAAGTAATTATTTCTGCCCTAAGATTGCTTTAAATTGAGAGGCTAGCTCTCCTAGAAGAAGAAAAAAAAGGGAGGGGGAGAACATATATGAATTCTAAAAGCTTTGTATGCTGTTGCCAAAAAAGGCCAAATCTGAAGAATAGTTGTTAAAGACGCAAAGACGAAGGATGAAAATACAGTTCAACATTTGCAGATCGTGTGGGGTTGGAGAGCTCAGTGGATGAAGCTTGCTTTCTTTTTTTCTCTTTGGAAACGATCTCTCTTGGCCACTCTCCGGCCCTGGCCCCTGTTTAATTGTTCAGGATGTTGGAAGACTTTTTCAGCCTTATAAAGGAGAAAAGTATACTAAATTGTCCCTTAAACTGTTCCACCATTAAATCCCTTCCACTCACCCCAACCAGATCGTTTGTGCAGGGTCACACCTGGTGACCCCTGTGGGAAAGTCAGCCTCGACAGGAAATGAGCAGGCAGTGCTCTCGGGGGTGCTGGTCCTCCATAGGCCTGGACCCAGGAGCCCCCCAGAACTCAGCGCCGCTGCCCTTACTGGACATGCAACTCCTTGTCTTCTTCTTCTTCTTTTAGCTGAGATTCAGATCTTAAAAACATTTTAAATCCATGTTTGTGATAATTGAGCCCGATTTCCTCTACAGCACATTGAACATAGCTGTTCCGTGTCTTAGAGTGACCTACTGAACGTGGCTGAAGCACACGGGCTAGTTTTTCCCTCTATCATTCTCACATTGGAAATGATCCCCAAAAGACTGCAAAAACCACTTTCTCTTTTCAGAAACCAGAAAAGCAGGCCTACAGGGAGTCGTGTTGCTCCTAGAAGGAAAAAGGAGAGAGCTGAAATTTTGTTGTTGTTCTAAGAAGACTGCTTTCTCTGAGTAAAACAAAATAAAAAGCAAATTAAAGAATCAAGTAAGACAACAATCAATCTCCTATCGGATTTTTCTTTCTGCACCACTCAAAAAGAGAAAAAAAAGCTTACAAGCTCTGTGTAACATTACTTATTTTAAGGATAGAATGATTTCCTCGTTAACAATTTGCCCTGCCATTGATAAAATAGACTGCATCCACCCTCAACCTTACAATGTAAACATGCCGCCTCTAACTTTGGTTTGCCAAAGCTCGCTGTTAATAGGCTAATAGTTTACTTGTGTGGTTTATTTTCTGCATAAAGGTTTTACTTTTCATGTTATGTGACTAAGATTTTATTATCAGATTGTATTATCAGACTCCAACAATTGTTGCTACCTTTGCCTCTTTCTGATAAAAAAGTAAATTAGGAGCAAAAGTGACCCCAAGAAGTAAAGGGTATTGTCACTGCAGTAAACAGTCGGGGAAAGGAAAACAGAAGGTGGCAGGAGCTGCAGGGGAGGACCCCGGAGCGGCGCTGACAAGCGACAAGTTAGGGAGCTGTTGTGCAGAGTACAGCTGCCCCACAGTGTTTTCAAGGCTGTGACCTTTCAAAAGCAGATTGCCAGGCCTGTCTTCCAAGGCACCTCTGGGTGGGTTCTAATTGCCAACCTTTCGGCGAGTAGTCGAGTGCTTAACCGTTTGCATTACCCAGGGACTAGATAGATCATTACTCAGATGAAAATAAGTACCCACACTGGGGACAAAATTTTAGATCAAATGTTAATTGTCCTACCCACTTCCTTTTTATGTATGATTTGGTTGCTAAGAAAATTTTCCTCATTAATGAGTACAACTAGTGCAGCCTAACAAGGGTAGTGAGGATGGCACAGGACCGTGCATGGTTTCGTTCTGTTGTCCATGGGGTCGCTGTGAGTCAGCACTGACTCGACGGCACCCCGGGACGGCAACAACAGTGCAGCCCAACGTAGGTTTTAACAATGCCTGCTGTTTTCACCTGCAGTGTCTCTGCAGTCACCTGGAAATCCTGCTCGGTTCAGATTGTCTCACCAGTCGCTGTGTCCCTCCAGCGTGAACCCTCAGTGTTTCAGAGGATCTGTCGGGAGTCCTCAGTCACGACAGCTCCTCCCCAGGATATGCACAAATTCAGTACTGAGACGCCCCCAGTGCTCTCTGTGAAGTCCTGGCTAGGAAGCTCACTCTCCTCCCCGGCGCAGATGTCGCCTGGTGAAGGAGCGAGCTGGCATGAAAGACTAGACGGAGGACTAGAGCGTGGCTGTGTGACTGTCTTCACATTGCCAGAACGCCAGAGTACCCTGTCAGAGGCAGAAAGGGCTTCACCAGGCTAATCAATCTGTAATTTAAATAACCAGATATAATATGCGACGCTGTGTTAGAGAACATGGCAGTGTCAGCGAAGGACGACCTTGGAAGAAACGCTCAGGAATATGCAGGCAAAGGGTCAGAACAGTGTCCGTGGTTTTCAGTGTACGGCAGGTCTATGTGTGTGTGTCTGGTATGAAAAAAGCACCTCAGAAGAAAGGCCTGGTCGCCTACTTCCAAATGATTATTTCTACTGAAAGCCCTATGGAGCAGTTCTACTCTGACACACTCAGGGCTGCCGTGAGTCAGAATCGAGTTTTTCCAAATCTCAGCTTAAGCTAGTTCTGTCCTTCTGGGGAAGGAATGGCTTCCAGTGAGATGTGTCATGTACTCGGTCACTTGTCTATTAAACCAACGTGGTGGATAGCCAGTAGGGGCTATCTATCTCTCTGCTACGTGAGGGGATAAGATGGCAACCACAAAGATGGGCCAATGGAACATGGACGACGGTTCTCCTGCGCTTCTTCGTCCCTCACGACAGACACAGAGAAAAGTCGCACATTCCTTGTCATTTTCCCCCCTTGCCCTTACTGACATCACTTGGCTCGTAGGCAATATTCTGCACCATCAGCGCTCAGTCAACACTGCTGAATGGCCGAGTACTACAGCATGGTATTCCCAAACTGAGACAGAAATTAACCCTAGGAGTGAGGGTCCAGGGTTTTGTTTCTGGTTTTTGCAGATTTCTTGGAGGAGCAGAGATAGTGCTGGCAAGTTTTGTCTGTCATCATGACAAGTAAATAAGTATCATGGAGGTTAGAGCTACTGAATTTGGACATTTAAAAAATTAATGCGTCTAACTTAATTATATGTATGAGTATAGGAAAGTGTGTGTGTGTGTGTGTGTGTGTGTGTGTATTAGGGTCTTACGATAGTATGACCCTCCATGGTGAGGAAACATTTTTAATTGAACTTTTTGTTTTGAGGCCACTGTAGATTCATATCCAGTTGTAAGAAATAACACAGAGTGATCCTTTGTATCCTTTACCCAGTACCCCCTGATGGTAACATCTCACAAAACGGCCGTGCAAGGTCACAACCAGGATGTGGACGTGAGACAGTAAAGATGCAGGACATTCCCATTATCTCATGTAGCTCTTTTTTCGCCACACCCACCTCCCTGCCACCCTCACCTTCTTAACCCCTGGGAACCACTGAGCTGTTCTCCATATGTATAATCTTGTCATTTCAAGACTGCTACCTGAATGGAATCATGCAGTATGTAAGCTTTGTGGGTTGGCTTTTTACACTCAGCGTAATTCCCAGGAGAATCGTCCCATCGTTGTGTGTCAGCAGTTCTTCCCGTCTCTCTGTGGAGTGGCGTGCATGGTGTGGATGAACCGCTCACCCACTGAAGCACCTCTGGGTGTTTCCAGTCTGTGACGATTACAGATACACTGCTGTGAACACTGGCGTACGGGTTATAGTGTGAACACGTATTTTCCTTTCTCTGGGATAAATTCCCAGTGCCACTCGTCCCGGAGGGCCGTGGCTGACTTGTACGGTGGTTGCCTGTTCAGTTTTTAAAGGAACAGCCAGACTGTCCTCCACGGCGGCTTGGCAACTTTGATTCCCAATAGTTATGCGTGAGTGGTCCAGTTTCTCCACATTCTGCCAGCATTTGGAATTGTCACTGTTTTATTTTAGCCATTCTGATAGATGTGCAGTGACAACTCATCGTGGTTTTAATTTGTATTTCCCTAATGGCTAATGATGTTAAACATCTTTTCATGTACTTATTTGCCATTTGTGTATCTTCTTTAGTGAAATGTCTCTTCATGGTTTTGCCCACGTTGTAATTGGATTGTTTTGAGAGTTCTTTATGTATTCTAGATACTAATTCCTTGTCAGATATGTATTTGCAAATACTTTCTCCCATTCTGTAGCTTGTCTTTTAATCCCCTTAATATAGTGCATTATAGAGCAAATGTTTTTCATTGCTATGAAGTTCAGTTTATTAATTTTTCCTTTTATAAATTGTGCTTTTAGTGTCAAGTCTAAGAACTCTTCATCTAGCCCTAGATCCTGAAGACTTTCTCTTATTATTTTTTTCTAAAAGTTCTATAGTTTTACAATTTACACTTAAGTTCATGATCAATTTTAAGTTAATTTTTGTAGAAGATGTAAGACTTAGGTTGAGGCTTACTTTTTTAAAAATAATAATTTATGGTGTTTTTGGTGAAAGTTTGCACAACAGTTTAGGTTCCCATTCAACAATTTCAACACAGATGGTTCAGTGACATTGGTTACACTCTTCACAATGCATGAGCATTCTCATTGTTTCTGTTCCGGTTGCTCTGTTTGAGGTTTACGTCCTACGTGTGGATGTTCCCATGCTGCAGCACCATTTGAGAAAAGGTTATGTCTCTTCCTCCATTGAATTATTTTGCACCTTTGTCAAAAGTCAGTTGGACATAACTGTTGTTGTTAAGTTCCATTGAGTCAGTTTTGACTCATAGCAACCCCACGTACAACAGAACGAAACACTGCCCAGTCCTGTGCCATCCTCACAGTCATTGCTATGCTTGAGCCCGCTGTCCAATTACTGCCAGGTAGAGGTAGGAACCAAGGCTTCCCACTCAGCCTCAGTTGACACCCCAAGAGTGGAGGACCCTCTTCGTTACTGCTTGGCAGTGAAGGGACTTCCATCCCCCCGCGTGGGGTCTACTGACACTCCAGTGGGAATAGCCAGTGGGGGCAGGAGGAGGATGCCTATGGGAGTGGAAATCCAGGCCCCCACATGGTCTCCACTGACTCTGGGTGGGTGGGTGCCTTGTTACTGGCCTCGTTACGTGGAGATGAAAGTTCTGACTGTGTACTTGGACTTCTGTGACACCACCGCAGTGGGGGTATTGGGGCACCTTGTTACAGCTCCCCAAGTGTGCACGTCTGAGCTCCCCACACCTCCTTTGCTGTGCGGGGCGGCAGTTTTATGCTGAATGGAGGAAAAGTATGTCTGTGGTGAGAAATCTGAGATAACATTAGGTACCTAGTCTCTTCTGGTGGATTTAATTATTTAATTTTAGCATACTGTTAAGGAAAATCTTTATAGCTTCAGAAAATTACATTATAGCAAGATTTTAGTGTGGTTTTCCATTAACCACTGGGATCAGTCTGTATTTAGATGGATAGAAATGATCCTATTTTTAAATTAGTGGCAGAGATACACTGTCCATATTAATGATGCATCACATAATTATTATTTTATAGAAAAAATTGTTATTTTAATATTTATAGAAAAATATATTAAAATATAGTTAAAATGCCTGTAATTTTACCATTCCTTTTGTATGTCCCTTACATTGTTGTGTTCTGTTACAATCAAGTCATAGATAACAAAATTATATAGCCATAAAATCTAACATGTTTTTCAAAATTAAATGGTTATCTAAAACGATTCATGTCTGTAGATTTTCGAAATAAAAAATTGTTTTAATTAATTTATTAAATATTTATTGAAAACGTGCTCTGTGTCAGGCATTGTGCTAGAGATATAACAATGAGCAAAACATATACACTTTCTGCCTTAATCAAACTTACTCTAAAGTGTCTTCCTACAACAAAAAATCAAAATAAAAAAAATTAAATCAAATCTTCAATGAAAGCATTTATATATTTTTTATGAATAGTAATGCTCAGGAAAATAAGGTATCTTTTGAGCATATTATCAGAGAAAACAGAAAAACAGGCTTCTAAAGCAGTGGCTTTATCACCAATGTTTTTTTTGAAATTAAATTGATAACATAAACAACATCATAAAATGTTCAATGATGTATACGATGAACATATTTCAGCAGTTTCTGAAATACCTCGTGGATTTTTAATATTGGTTTAGAGTCAGAAAAGGCAGCGTTACCCAGTGATGGCCGTGGTTGTTGAGGTTTACATTAGCCAAAAGCTGTAAAATCATCCAAGGACGCATTTAGTGTTGGGATAATAATTTACCAAGACAGTTACCACATCCTGGAATTGTTTGCAGCTCTAATTCAGTATTATTAATAATGGATAAAATTGCACTTTTCTCAGGTTGCTGAGGGCAGTGGGGAATTATTTCAATGAATATTTCAGCACATCATTTTAATCATTGTTCCACTGAATTCAAGCGGGCAATATTTTATACTTCTTAATTCAGTCTGCTAAGAGACTATGGTCATTAAATTGCAAACTATTTGCAGTTAGTCTGTCCTGGTGCGAAAGAAAGCAGACTGTGCTATTAGTGCCTGTGATTTGATGCTGGGTTTGTGGCTCAACTCCCTGTGATGAACGTTTCCAGTAGAAGGAAGAACACTGAAGAGAGAGCAGAGCTGAGTTTTGTGATGCCTAAAATATTAGAGTGTTACTTTTTTAAGTTTTGTTCATTTATATGGGAAACATATGCATATAAACACAAGTATAAAATATAAATATCTCAAAAATAGTCTTAGTTTTCCAACAAGACCGAAGAAATAAAGCTTTAATTTTAGGAGGAAAATGTATTTCCAGTTATGCATGGTTATTAGTAGTGATTACTTTTGCTTTCTTTCCCATTCTTAGCCAATTGCATGATTTCTGGCGTCTGGATTACTGGGAAGACGACCTGCGTCGGAGAAGACGATTCGTTCGTAATGCGTTTGGCTCCACACACGCTGAAGCGCTGCTCAAAGCTGCAATCGAATACGGTCAGTGCTCCTGCCTCTAATGCAAAAGTACTTTTGTACGTGAGGGGGCTCATTGCAGCTGAGGATTCTTTTTTTTTTTTTGCCAGTATTTGAAATTCTCCGTGTCATAAGTCAGAAAGATGTTGTTCTGCCTTGTCCTCTGCATCAGTTTAGGATGCCCCTTATCAGCCCAGTATTTCTCACAGCAGACATGTTTTTAGACCCTTCAACTTCTCTTAACAGATTAAAGGACTCCGCACAGTTCATTATTATCCAGCGACTGTCTCACACATCCTAAAACAAGAGTCAGCTCAGTTTCTTCCGTAGTGTCTTTCAAGCTTTGGTGAGCAAGACCCAGAATGAGAAATGGATATTTCGGTGTAGTCTTGTACTCAGACTTACATACTTCCATATTTTGTGTATAACTTGGTGTGTACACATGTATGTATTTTGTATATATATATACATATGCAAACACTTACATGTATAACCAAAACAGATGTTTTATCGATATCCTCATTACATGATATTTTCTATTTTAATCCTGTTCTGCACTAGTCTTTTCATTTTTTAAAAAAAAAGGTAATTCAGTTACAATCAGCTAACAAAGTCCCAGTCTGCCGAAGGGTTGAAAATTATATAAGAAAAACCGCCCTGCGTTAACGATATCACGAACTGTTACGTTACACTAGAACCATGCCTTGCATTGTCCTTTATAGAATGTGCACAAGAGAAAGGAAGTATCAAAGTATTTTTGTAGTTTAATAAAAATGCTGCTACTTTAGATTGCTGTCCTCCAGGAAGTATGCATAGGGATATTTTGTCTGTCTGTTTTTAAATGCTCTAGCAAGTTTAATTTGGATTGATCATATCAGAATGTTATAAGTCATGCACACTCAGGAAATACCCAAATTAACACTGTGCGTATATTTTTGTTATTAAATAACCACTTCTGTTCTTACTGTTATTGGTGTTTTCTATTATGTTCCTTTTCATTTATTTGAAAGTAATAAGTGAGCCGTCTGTTTCAAAATTTACCATAGTTCATAGCATGTAATTCCATTCATCTGCTTGATGTATTGAACAGGGAAAATTTTCAATCCTAATAAAAAGACAGAATGTCCAGAGTTTTAAAATGTGTAGCCCCAGTCTGCTCTTAACTGATGTAACTTATTAAGTCTAAATAAAAAATAATAATTGCCATGGAGTCAATTAGACTTATGGCGATCACACCTATTTCAGAGCAGAGCTGCACTCCATAGGGTTTTCAATGGCTGTAATCTTACAGAAGTAGACAGCCGGGCCTTTCTTCTGCAGCACCGCTGGGTAGACCTGAATTGTCAACCTTTCGGTTAGTAGTCAAGCACAAGCCTCAAAACATTAAATAAATACGTGAGAATTTCATATGAAACTATTATACTGAGGATAAAAGTTGTAAAGTCACTTTATATAGTAAAAATAACTATAGGGGAAAATATACTTAAAAAAATTATAGGTGCCCTATACTCCAGGGGATTTCTTTAATCAACTCAAAAGATTGCCTAAGGATTTGATACCAACTTAAAATGAGTGTTGTCTTTATGTTCTATAGGAGAGTTTCTTAGAAATACCTACTTAGCAGTAGCATGCTTCATAATATTAACTTCAAATTATTAAACCTTCATTTCACTTACCATGTAATTTAGACTTTTTTAACCAATTCATTCTGAATTCCTCTCAAGTGAAATTAGAAAAATCTATAGACAATTTGTAGCAGGAGCTAGGCTAGAGGGATATTATTAGTGATACTGAGTTGCCCGAAGCTTTAATTATATAGGATCCACATTATGTTAATACTGTATTCTACATTCTACAGGTTGCTTTGAGAAAAGGATCTATTAGAAAATTGTTATTTTGTTTCTCAATAAAAGTGGATACTTTAATATGTTTAACATGTAAAACATTTTCTATTGTTAAACCTGTGTCAAAGCCTATCAGAAACAAATTTGAAATCCTTTGCCTTCAAATATTTTTTGAGAGAGATTAAGTCATATTTTAGTAACCTACGTAGTAACTATCATTAATGAACCTAAAATAAAAATTGTGAAGTAGATAAGAGGTGTAGATGATAATAAATATCCTCTATGTGCGCATGGGGCCGCCATGAGTCGGAATCAACTTGACAGCATCAGGTTTGGGGTTTTTTGGTACTACAAGAGTGTATTATAAAATATGCAGTGGTTTGTGATGCTCATATTCTGGGTCAGCAGCAGTATGCAGAACCTGTTTCTCTTGAGTCCCTCATTGCTTTGGGTTCTTTGGTAAAAGGAAACAGGATCATGTTTTTATTTTATGCATCTCAAGAACAAAGACCACATTTATGCCATAAAATACTCAGGAGATCTCCAGGGTACCTGCGTTGGAGTTACTCCAAGGTCATTCTCAAGGTTAGGGTCATGGAGTGGAAGACAAAGAGACTGAACAGCTCTACCTCCAGAACGAGATCCAGAGTATGCCTCTGAGCCCCTATCGCAGTTGACATCTGTGGAGTCTTGGACTCAGGTAGAGAGTTGGAAGTAAAATATGGAGGATGTGGCCAGGGCTGGTGGAAAGCATGTCCCAGAGTGAGCTGTACTTAGAAGCAGAGGGAGGAATTAAAACTGCCAAGAGAAAAACGTGGCACTATACCTCCTTCCAACCTCTTAATGTCCCCTCTAAGCAAGTATGAAGTATTTCTGTAGAAGAAATAGGAAGAAAATGTCAGTAATTATTACAAAACACTTCATCCAATAAAAATAGATGTTGAAAGCCTTAATTGAAAACAGGTTTTGTGTATTTTAAAGAAAGCTTTGTGTTCACATATTGCCAGAACATCCACATAAAGAAGAAAACCCACCCCATCCTCTGGATGCTCTTTCTGCCCGCCATTGGACATTTACATGCTCACATGGCTTCAGGTTTGGCAGTGTGTAGACTAACATCCACATGATCAAGTGTTGTGGTGTTGTGTTGACATAGATAAATGGTGTATTTATAGCACAAACTTACAAATTCTGAGTGAGCTTCCAGGACAAATTGAAATTGTGCTTATTTCTTCCTGTATGTTAAATAATTACTGTATTTCAGTGTCCCTTTCGTTAAATTCAGTCTTGAAAGTAAGCATTAAATGCACAGAAAGTGTGCTATAAACTGTAGTGGAAACATTTTTTATATATTCATCTACATGGTAGCAACAGAAATGTTTTAGGAACAAAAGAATATTTTATGGATAAATTTGCAGTATGGCTAGAAGCATTTGAAGCAGTGATCAAAGTGTTTCAGAACTTTAAGTTGTAGAAGCTGGGAGGATAGCCTGGAATGTCTTAAACAGGGACTGTTTAAGTGGCCATTGAAACAATTCCTGGGAAGTGAACCACTGGTCAGTACATCTAGCCATAATTTGGATTTCATAACATTATTCTCAGGCCATTTATATGGAACCTCAAAACGAGTGTAATAACAACACTTTCCCTTAAATGAGCAAACAATCAGAACTGGATAGAATTTCAAGGAGTCATAAAGGACAATGATTTTCTTTCATAAATACTTGGAAGAGGTTTCCCTTAGATTTCATTATTAAAACTTCTGGCTGACCTTTTTTTCTGTTGGAAAACATCCTTACCACTGATGGAGTTTTCATGCTTCTTAGTAATACTAATGAGTTGAATAATTTATGAGGTTGTCATTGCAAAAGATTTGGTGTGATTTGATATACTTTCAGCCTCTGGTGTTGGAATGTGATTAATAAAAACCTAGAGGCATGTGATTTTTTTCTCTGATGCTTAATGTTCTAATTTTGTGTGAATGGAAGGTGTTATTTAGGTGTTTTCTAATAGTAAAATCTCATACAAGTGCAAATTTAATGGGTTACCAGGAATTTTACAGAGCACAGCAATGGAATAATATTAGACATATTTTAAAATTCAAACTCATAAACTAATTTTATATATACATAGATAATTTTTTGACCTACAAGGTTTTATGCTTCAGGACAAATTAGCTAATGAAGAAATAACTGAAAAAGGAGGGTTTTGTATATCGTGTACATATTGAAACAAAACCTAGACTAGTCACCTTGTGGTATATGAAGATTCTAGCTGTTGCGGAATAGTGCAGAATCTCAGTAAGTTCTGGTTGTCCGTGCTGATTGTCAGTTTTTGTTTAGGCCTCTGTTTGCCTCCCATAAAATTACAGTGGAACAATGTTTCATCAAAGCCTGTCATCAAAGACATCATCTTAAATAGGTCTGATCGGGCGTCGCAGAAGAGGGCAGGCTGCCTCAGCCCGAGGAAAAAAAACATGGAGCCAGGATGACAAAGTTAATCAGTCATTTCTTTGGCAATAAATAATCAGATATGCTGAGAACTGCAAATGAGTTGGTTCTTAGGGTCCTCAGAGATGCGTCTGCTTAACACCTGATTTATCTAAGCCTGGGAAGCTACCAAGATCTGACCTTGACGGATAAAAAGCAACTCTGTAATGAATCTGAAATTAAATTAGTCTGATGGTATATGCACGGGTAGTGTAATGTGCTGCTTGCAGTCATCAAGAAGTAAGCAAAGCACGGAGAGTCAGGATCACTGATGCAGTGATACAGTTGTTGAGAAAGGAGATATCAGATCATCTGACTTCTTTTTTTTAAATTTACCATTATAACATTTGAGAAAGAGGATTTGATTTTTTTTTTTAACCTAATAACTCATTTGGAGCCTTGGTGACAAAGTAGTTAAGAGGTTGGCTGCTAACCAAAAGGTCAGCAATTGAAACCCACCAGCCACTCCTTGGAAACTCTATGGGACAGTTCTACTCTGTCCTAGAGGGTCGCTATGAGTCAGAATCGACTGGACAGCAACGGGTATTTTTTTTTATTTTGGTAGTAACTCATTTGTATTATGTAGAGAGTACAGTAAACATCTTCTTTATGATTGTTAATTGATAACTCCATTTTTTGTTAGTGCATTATTAATTGAATCCCCATATTTGGGATGAAATAGGTGATCTAG